AGGCAAAGCTGCCATGAATAAGTCATGTGATATGGTAAGACCTGCATGTTCCCACGCTAACTAAACTGTACAATTCATCTGCCAGCAATACAGTTTAGTGACAAATTATTTTTAAGTAATACTGGCACAGTTTTAAAAAGCTTCACATAATGATCATGCCCCACTTTTGGGTAAAAATTTGCCATGAAATCCGCAATGATTATGCGGTGACATACAGTGGTAGTTCATAGGCTCAAAGACCTATTCCACCCCCGATCCCTATTTGGAAGGGGCTCCATAGGCCATCTATTCACAGCTTCTCATTTTACAGATGTTCTTTAAAGTGATCCTTATAGGACACAAACCAGATTGCTCTTCACTATGCTAGTTGGCCTCCTCTGGACAATTTCCAGCTTGTCAATGTCTTTCCTAAAATGTGATGGCCAGATCTGAATACAATACTGCTAGATGTGTTCTGACCAAAGCAGCATATAAAGTTACTATCACCTCACTATTCCTGGACGCTGTGCCTGTATGGAGTACGATTTCATTAGCTTTTTCATTACCAAATCTCACTGCTTACTTATTTAGCTTGCAGTCCATTAAAACTCCCTGATGTTTTTCAGAAAAATTGCTCCCTAGTCATGTCTTCCAGGATCTTGTACTTGCAAAGTTAATTTTTGAAAGTGAAATATAAGACTTGATGTTGGTTCCTGATAAATTTCATTTTAGGGGCAGTATGCCATAGAGTTGGACTTTGAGTCAGAAAGACCTGGGTTCAATTTCACCTCTGAAACATAATGGCAGTAATAAAGAAATCATTTAAGTCTTCAGTGGCCCCAGGTAATTCTTTAAGAGTAGGTGGAGGCAGCTAGGTGGCTCAGTGGATAGAGTACTGGGCCTGGAGTCAGGAAAACCTGACTTTAAATCCAACCTCAGAGACTCACTTGCTGTGTGACCCTGGGCAAGTCACTTAACCTTTGCCTTCAACTACTGAAGAAGGAAAAGGCAAACCACTCCAGTGTCTTTGCCACAAAAACTTTATCGACAGCATAGGCGTGCTATGATCCATGAGGTCTTAAAGAACTGGACATGACTGAATGACTAAACAACAGAGCAGGAGTGGACCTGAATATATAAGTATGGGGGCAGCTAGGTGGCGAAGTGGATAGAGCACCGGCCCTACACTCAGGATGACCCGAGTTCAAATCAAATTATATATAAAAGTATGGAAATTTAAGTAGATTTTTTTTAAATAACAGGGCCTAACAAATGGGAGGATTTTGTTGGTAAAGTTGTAATTTAATTTACCTAATACTTTTGGAATATTTTGAAAGTCAAACTTTGAAAAGCTCTGTAGTTTTCAGCTCTAAAGTTGACCAAGAGGGGGCTGGGAAGATACAAATCCTCAAAAAATGTATACATTTCTGCTAATCTTCACTCAGAGAGATGAACAAAATTTCTGGGGCCAGCTTCCGTCAATAGTTTCCTCTCCATTGGAGACTTTCAAGCAAGTAAAAAGAATTATTGGGATGGATGATTCATTGGAGTTCAGTTTACCTTCCTATTTACCTAAGGAACAATTTGACACTTGGTGATACATTAGGGAAAGAAGAAAAGGCACACCTGAAGGGATTATCCTGTACTGAAATATTTCAAACAAATAAAGAACAATGGTATTTCTGAGCAGGGTAGAATAGAACCAGCTGTGTGTGTTTTACAATACAAGGAAAATGCAGAAAAACCAACTAAGATATATTTGAGTGAAAGGGTCACAATCCAGGCCCTGAGAGCTTCAAACAGGTCTGTGGATCAATTGTGAAACAGGAATACTCTGTCCTGGATCACTAGTTGGCTTTTAAAAAATCTTTTAAAAAACAATTGTGAACTTAATAATAGTCCATACAAACATTCCTTGTTTGTCCTTCCTTCTTGAAAAGGACCTCAGTATAAGGAAGGTGATATCATGATTTGCAAGTCTATGCAAAGTCATCAGCCTCCCTCTCTTCTGAGCCATCTGGGTCCAGTGCCAAGATATAGATCAGGTTGACTTGGAGATGGCCCTGCATGCAGTGGGAGATTGGCTTTTTTAAGCTAAGGTCTTTCCCAGATCTCATATGGTTTGCTATTAAATAGGGATTTTAAAATGTTAAAAGGTAGTAACAAATTTGCCCAGTTTGTGTCCTTATATGGACTAGTTTTACTGATGTTCTTTTCTATTTTCATTTTCACATCTATTACTACCCATGAATTTACCCCTTTTCAATCCACATAAGCCCCTCATTTTAAACAAATAAATACAGTCAAGCAAAACAAGTCATTGAAGTATTATTGTCTGAAAACATACGTCTCATTTTGCACCTTTAGTCCATCACCTCTTGCCATGAAGTGTAACACATGCTTCATAATCAGCTTTCTGAAATCATGCTTGTCAACTATGTTGATCAGAGTTCTGAAATCTTTCAAAGTTGTTTTCCTTTCCTCTATTTGACCATCCTGTGAATTTTTCTCCTGGTTCTGCTCATTTCAGGCTGTATCAGTTTATACAAGTCTTCATAAGTTTCTCTCACATCTTCATGTTTGTCATATTATGATGTAATTTGTTTAATCATTACCCAATGTTCTTTGATACAGTAAAAAAAAAGCTGGTACAAATTACTGTACATGTGGGTCTTTTCCCTCTGTCTTTGAACCCTTTGGGAGTACATCTCTAGTGGAGGTTTCACTGGACAAAGGGCATGTACTATTTGACAGCTTTGGGAGAATGGCTCCCAATTGTTTTTCAGAATGGTTGCATTCATTCACAGCTCTACCAAGACTCCATTAGTGTGCCTTTCCCTCCAAAGTCACTTTTCATCTTTTTGCCAATCTGATGGCTGAGGTGGAACTTCAGGGATTGTAACAATTTGCTTTTGCCTTTTTATTGGTATTTTATATTGTTGTTTCATAGGATTATTGATGGCCTGCATTTCTTGATTTCAAATGGCCTGTTCATAACTTTTAACCACTTTTCTCTTGAGGAACTGATCTTTTTTCTTATATATTTATATCAATTATCTATATATTTTGGATATCAGACCTTTATCTAGGGTATTGGCTGCAAATGTTTTTTTTCACAGTCGTGCTAGCTGGCTTCTTTAAAGGAGGATGCCAGGAAATCTGTGTGCCCAGCCTTGCAATGCTTTATGCCTGGATACCATATCTTCTCATACAAAAATGCATAGGCTAGACCACTGGCAACCTCCAAATAGGTTTTCTCAGCCTTACCATTGGTGTTCTGATTTTGAGATGTTTTATCATTATTATTATTATTACATAACTAAGGCATGACATTTGTTATTGTGCTACCGCACATACTGGGCCATGCCAGTTATAGCCACAGGACGAAAAACAAAACAAACTCCGTTGGCAGGTCTTCCTTTATTTCAGCTCCCACTGAGCTGTGCAATTAGTGCCAATCACTAAAAGTACTTTGCTAGTCCCAAATTGTACGTTGTTCACTTGGGTGTGTTAAAAGGTGCAGAAGCCATGCCTCACTTATTAATCATTAATGTAAACTTGCCACCTACTCAGAACTTTTGCTTCTTAAATCATGAAATAAAAAAAGCATCAGTCTTAAGCATAAATACAGTGTGACCCAATACACAAAGGCTCTTTCTTCTGAATTCTATTCATACGAAGGGCAATTTGTCACATGATATTTACGTTAAAAAATAAGGGTCAAGAATGAATGTCTAAGATAATAAACGTGTAGACTGTTTTCTACTTCTTGCGGGAAGGGAAAGGCTCTGTAACAAACTTGGGTGCTGAGTTAAGCACTTTCATTCATAAGTCCATCTGAAAACCATATCATTTGGTGATTTCTGCTGGGTTGCCTGTGTCTCCTAGCTCCTTTCCTCTTTTAAATTTTAAATACTGCAAAGGAACCATTTACCCTGTGAGGTTCTCATAGTTAGGACCAAACCCTTCTCTGAGGAATTTTGGCACCCAATTAATTAGCTCGTTATGAGCAGGAGCTGCTCTCTTTCAGTAACTCCTATTCTGCCATCCGTAAAGTGTGATTCCGTAATAAATTTCCACGAAGCAAACTATTTCTGGTAATTCTCCCTAATTAACACCAGGTCTGCTAATAATAAATTAGTACCTATGTGTTTCTGATATAACCAAGATCTTGTCTGGGAGGACCCTAAAAAGGCAAACTCTAACCTAAATTAAGCTCTTGCTGGCAAAGGGATTTATATGCTATTTTGTAAGAAAACCTTTGATAATCTTATATTGGGGCATTCTGACTAGCAAACATTGAGTGACAGGGAGATTTGTTCTGGTCTGAGCACTGAAAAGGGATTTACTGTGAACACATACTGTTGAGTCTTAAGCCCATAAATCTTGCACAGGATTACTGATGCTTAATGAATGAATGACAGATCTCTTATTTTTGTCGGTGCATTTTAATGTGCAATGACGTGATTGATAGAAACCAAACATTGACCATTAAAGTGTCAAATGCAGACATGATGCTCTTAAATGTTTGGCTTCTGGAGTTTAATATACTGTGGGCAAGTAGACCTGAATTTGTCTTTTATTCCCAAATCTCAAGACTGCAACAAAAAACATTCCTCTGAAACTTCATGTAGTTGGGGGGGTTGGGGTGGGGTGGAATCTCACTAAAACCAGTAAACAAACAAGGCTGAAGTAAACCTACTCAGCTTTAGAATACCTGGCTAATGAGACTGGTCTGAGATCTGTGCTATCATCGTGAAATCCTTGGCCAGAGTGATGGTAGATAGTGGAGGCGGACAAAGTCACAGCTAAATACATGACCAGCTTTGCTAGTAATAGATAGTAGTAATAAGCCTGAAAAAAAAAAAGCCTGTTACGTTAATGCACCATTTTCAAGTACTGCTTAACTCTGAGCGATTAACAAAATGGGATAAAAAGTGCCTAATTGTGGGTCTGGTATAACCCATTCCTACCGTGAATGAGAAAAAGGAGAATCATTTGCCACAAAAGACCCAGACGTGTTCTTCTGAAACACCAAACCTATTTTATTATGAAGCTATTTATTATTTGTTATGTACATAAAGGCATTGTTTTGCTCAGCATGCCGCTTATATGCATTTTCATTAGGATACTTATCCAAAAGCAAAACTGATTAGAATACAGTTTTTAGAAACATAAACAGAAAGGAGCAAAAGTCAGAGGTCAATAGAGAAGCAAAACGACACACTCAAACCTTTTAAACAAATCAAGCAGAAATAAAATTGATGGCGCAGTAATTTTTTTCTACCAATTTGTGTATTTTTCCTTATTTTTATATGCTTGCAAAGCTGTCTTCCTAAAGTAGCTGAGGAAATTGCACTCCAAAATACATGTTCTGAGACATTTACCCCACACTAATATGGGCAGCTTGTTCTAATTACATCTAAGTTCACACAAGAGCAAAAACAGGGAAAGTTCCTTGGAGGCAGTGTGCATAATGAATATAGCTAGAGTACCTCACCTGTTGAAAATCTGTATATTAATATATTCTCATTATAAATAATTTTATAGATAATGCTGCATGAATAATTTTTTTATTCAAAGACTATAGTCTTAATTTGAGCTCATACTCTAACATTGCTCGGAGAGTTAAAGTTTAGTTTAGTCCTAGGCTTTAATATGAAGTCTGAACCATCAGGGATTATGGGCAGTAGAGGAGAAGGAGCTCCTGGCTTGGGGAACCTGAAATTTACAGCATTTAAATGCACAAGTAGGAGGACGAATTTTTAAAATTAGGCTTCTGGTAGCAACACCTGCTATACTTTGGAGGACAGGATTTGACCCTTAGAGGCCTACTAAAATACTGAGTGAGCCTAGATCAGTAATTCAATCATGGAACTCAGAAAATTCCCAGTGATCAGTCACCATCTATGGCCATATAGTACGTTGTTAAATTGTGCTACAAATTTGGCAACCAAAAATATACATCAAGAGAGCTTGAAAGTAAATGAACTACACAGAAGCAGCAAAAACAGAAAAGGCTGTTTTGACCTAGAAGCTATCTATAACCAGAACAATAAATACTCAGGGAGATAACCCGAACAATAAAGTGACCAGCCAGGTATTAAAAGATTAACCCTCGTGTATTACAATCTACCCTTTCTTGGGAGAAAATACACAAATCCTTCTGGTTTATGAGCAGTAGATAGAACTTATTTTCATGGGATTAGTGATTTGCCAATAATCTGACATTTCTAACTACTCAGTTACTAGAGAGACAAAGCACAAAAAGGGAATTAGAAATTCGGCAGCAGCTTCTCCCCTGGCAGGAAGAATGGACGTTAGGGGAAATGCAACAACGTGATCTCCAAGAAATGCGGGTTGGGAGGGAGGGGGGAAGATACTCCTTTAATTAAGAAAAAAAAAAAGTCCTTAAAGCATGATAACTTCAGCCAAATTCCAGGCAAGAATTTTCACAAAGTACACAAATGTCATAGACTACTGAATAAGATCTTGGCACGTAGTTCTAAAACAAACAAAACAAAAGAGGGCGCAGAGAAAGGGCCCAGAGCACAGCAAAGCAGGTCAGAGACACATTTTGAACTGCTCCCAAGCTGCAGACTTTGTGGGAGGCAGGATGTGCCAGAGGCCCCCGTGCAGGTGCTCAGCAGCCGAGAGGGCTGGAGAAGCCGGCTGAGTCCCCAGGATGCGCTCGCCCCTTCCTAAACGCTAAGAGCCCACGAGCTGTTCCACTGCTTTTTGGCTCGGCACACCTCCCCCTTCTGATTTATTTCAATTAATCATAATCCACATATAACATAAATTGGTGAAGACCATAAATTAACAGCCTGTCAGCACTGCGGCCTTTCAAGTTCAGGAGTTTCAACAAAGAGGGCAGTTTCAACCTTTACTCCAGAACAAACAGGCTCACAATGGAAGGGAGGCAGGGGAGGGAGTGATGGGCCTGCGGAGGGACTTTACCCTCCCATCCCCTCTGAGAAACATCATGCCCCACAAGTCTAAAATGAAAACTTAGAACCATGAGGAAGCACTTTCTGACCTTCCCTCTGTTCACTAGAAACACACAGGAGAAAAAAAACAACTAAACTAAAAAAACCATTAAATGCCCTGCATCTTTCTTGCTGAACTAATATATACAGTGTCCTGAAAATCTCAAGGCAATTTAAAGCTTTCAGGTTTAAACTGCACTAAGACTTTTGGGACACCCAACTAATATGATCATGATTTCTCTCTCCCTAGATCTATGCATAATTTTAGTCACTAAATATGGAAAGCAAATAATGCGCCAATAAGTCATCACTTTTCCAGCTTTAATATCACAAAACTCTCAAATGAAATGTTTTTGCATTTAATTTGAAAAGAAATTCACTTATTACTATTTTTAACCCTCAACAATCAAAGAACATGGGATATATTTTTATCACATCTCAAAAGTGATGTTTCTCTACATTCTAAGTAATTTTCAAATCTGTAATTACAGAAAAATCTTGTCTCTAAGTAAAGCTCTTTGTCCTCTAATCAATCAGTCTAACTCTCACAAGTTGCTCTGATTTATCAATCTAGAAAATGTTGAGATTTTCTTTTAGATAAAATCCACTGACTTAAAATCTTTCCTCAGAATTTCTTTCCAAAAATAATGTTCCTAGCACAGCTACACAGAAAGTTGAAAAAAAATTTGAATGTGGCCACTAAACGAGAAAGCACATTTTTGACAAGGTGTTGATATGACCCAAAACTAGTTTTTCTGCTAATTGATTTGTACCAATGATGTATATAACCTTCCAAAATTTAATAAGATAGCAACTATCATTTATACAGTGTCTGAAGGTCTGCAAAAGCGCTCGCTCTCTCTCTCTCTCTCTCTCTCTCTCTCTCTCTCTCTCTCTCTCTCTCTCTCCCCCCTTTCTTCCTTTACCTGCCCAACTCCCTTAAAGGGAGAAAGGCTCAACTTTCTGACCATTCACTTTTTTTTTCCTTCTCATATTCTACTCTTGGGGGAAAGGGAAGGCTAAGAGTAGAACACAGTACCAGTAGGAAGATGCATATAATGAAAACCAGATGGTCTTATGTTACTAAAAGGTTAACCTGCATGGTTTATGTATGAGTTCCAATAGATGCTTGCATGAGGGGAAAAGGCTTTCCTCATTAATACATCACTTAAAACATTTGCACATGTTGCATCCAAAATTCCTTTGCCATTTCTTTCCATAAGTGATCAGTTTTTAGCACAGCTACACAGAAAGTAAAAAAAAAAAGATTGGCACCTATCACCTAATGAAATTTTCAGTTAACTTGAGGAAGAAGTCTCATTTTGTCTGCTTTTAAATTTCTCATGCAGATGGGACAACTGAGGCGTTTTTATAGATTTTTTCCCCCAGATTTACTCAACATCCATCTATAAATTGATTGTGATCTTGCATTGACTGGGAGGAGGGAGAGGAGCATGTGTTGAGGTCTCAGCATAAAGAATGCCATTCATCAAAAAAGAAATATTTCTTTATCCAATTCTTTCAAGATGAACAATCTTTGCTAGTTAATAGAGGCCTGATAGCTATTTCATGGGCAGAAAATGCCTTGAAAAACCTTGAGTTTCTATGCCATCTCCCTCTCTCCACTTTACATGTCCAAATATTTCCATATAAATGTATAAAAAGTTTTCCTTTCTGCACATTCTTTCAAAGTGATATGAATATTAGCCTAAGAAAAATTAGCTACTAGTACATTCCATCTTCTTTTCACTCTTCAGTTTATTTTCTTCTTTGTCATTATGTTTCCTTTCAGAAATTCAGAGAATGAGCATGTTTCTTGCACAATGGTTTATCCTTCTTGGAGAAAAAGGTCTGCCCTTCCAAACTGTCAGAACACACCTGAAAAGAAGAGAAAAACCATTCAGGGAACCATGAACATCTTGTTGAACATGCCTAGCAAAATAGATATAGCACATTTTTTAAAAGGTGTTGATGTGATCCAGAACTAGTTCTTTTGTGAACTGATTGGTACCAACACTGTATATAACCTTCCAAAAGTTAGTATGATAGCAACTGGCATTTATGCAGTGACTGAAGGTTTGTAAAAGCAGCTGAACACACACTGTAGAGTGAGTTCCACAGCCCTGTTACGTGGGCACTCTAAGTATTCATTACTGTTTCCATTTTGCAAATGAGGAAGGAGAAAGTTCAGGAAGATTAAATGAGTTTATTGAGGTCATACAGCTAATAAATTCTAGAAATGGAATGTGGACACAGGACATGTTGATTCCAAGTCCAACATTCTATTTACTATCTAGGGGTGGGGAACCTTCAGGCCTCAAGGCCACATGTGGCCCTCTAGGTCCTCAAGTGGGGCCCTTTGACCAAAACTGTTTGTGCCGTTTGGATTCAAAGGGCCATACCTGAGGACCTAAGGGCCATATGTGGCCTCAAGGCTGCAGGTTTCCCACCCCTGAATACCATGATGCTTCTTTGAAAACAAGGTCAAATTAAATTCATTTTATTTTCTTTGGTTGTGTACCAATTTGGGGTTTTCTTGGCAAAGATACTGCACTGGTTTGCCTTTTCCTCCTCCAGCTCATTTTACAGATGAAGAAACTGAGGCAAATAGTGTTAATTGACTTGCCCACGGTCACACAACTAGCAAGTGTCCGAGTCTGGATTGAATTCAGGAAGATGAGTATTCTTGACTCCAGGCTAGCATTCTATCCGTTGTACCACTCAGCTGCCCCTCATTTTGCTTTACCAATTCCGAACAGTCCTTGGCTGCTTTGCTAACATATCATTAAACTAGAACTGGGCAAGATTACGACATGTAAGTCATTTTTAAGTTCTCTGACAAATCAGTGACCTCCTTAATGTGAGCACTCTTTCCGCCAGTGCAGGTTAACACCCATCCCTGCCACTCACTATTTGTGTGAACTAAAGCAAATCTTTTCACCTCCGTGGACCTCAGTTTCCTCATCTGGAATGGAAGTGCTGAACTGGATGACCTCTAAGGTGCTCTTCAGCTCTCAATCTGTGTACTAGGTTCTTTCATCCTATGCATTTAATATTTTGTAGATATGACTACAGCCCTCAGCTAGGCTATATGTCCTCTTGTGCCCTCAGCACAAGATTGGCCTGCCTCCTTCACTGATCATACATTTCCTTGGTGATATCTTTCATACCACTTGTTGCCACTGGGGACTTGAATTCTTCTGGGTTGTGACATTTTGTAATTCACAGCTGTACTGCATCACCAGGGAAAACTTTGGTGTTAAAAAAGACAGACTTTACAGAAATGAAATGAAGCCTCATCTCCTCCTGGTCAATTCTAGCCTCTAATTCATTGTTCATTTACTATGCCCATCTAAGATATATAGACAGAGAGACTAGCTCAGTAGACTTTCCATCCAACTGCATGACGTAATCCAAACAATATACATCCTGTATCTATTTGGTCCTTCCTTTGTTTCTCTAGCAATCTATTTTTGCCATCAATGACATCTCATCTGGATTTAAATAATTCTGTATGTGATGTGCTATGTGAAAAAGCAGAATTGGTACTTAAGGAAATGAAGTTGTTTAGAGCAGCTTGACCCAACTAAACATATTCCAGGAAATCTGTGCTATATATAAGGAGCACAGTTTTAAAGGCACATGTGAATTGATTTTCAAGATATCTCAAAGAGTAGAAGATTGCAAAAGAACGGAAAATACCACAGCTGGTATCATTATCCAAAAAAGTAACAGAGAAGAAATTAGCAACTAGTAAGTCTCTGCACATATCTCCTTGATGAAAATAAGAGAAAGGAATAGGCAGACTGGTACAACGTCCTAGAGCAAACCACATCTTCAGGATCACAGTGAACTGAGAAATAGAGCATGTAAGATTTCTGCTGTGTTAATTGCCTAATTACAAAAAAGCATTTGATTCAGCCAAGATAGATTTAAAGTATCTCCTCCAATAAGGTATTTCCCAGGCATATGTTAAGATTATATAAGAATCATTCAACCATATAGCAGCACGCAGATAAATATCTCAGACATATGGATGACAGCTGTAGCTACAGTGATAACTTTGCTCCACAGTCCTTTGATCTTCAATACCCACAAGAGATACAAAAATAGGGAGACACAGACTCCTTACAGGTTTTTGCCACTGTCATGAAGAATTTCTTGAAAACCCCCCCCGAAGAAGGATTCTTCCTAGACAGGGAGGCTCTGCAGATGTGTCTGTTTCAGAGTGATTCTGTATTGACTGATGAAGCACCTGAACCCTGTAGAGCTGCCGCAATACTTTTTAATAGGCTTTGTCAAAGATAACAATTAGTAGCTTACATGAAGTTTGGACACCTTGGTCAATTTCATTTAGTACTTCTCTTTTCCCCTTTGCTCTGGATAACTGAAAGCTGTTGGATATATTCATATACATTTAAATATGTGTGCCCATAATATTCAATTCAAAAAGGCATTTATTAAGTGCCTACTGTGTGCCAGGCACTGTACTAGGCACAAGGATACTAAGACAAACAAACACGTCTCTGTGCTCAGGAAGCCTGCATTCTATTGAAAGGATACGATATGTATAAACACTACCACCATCATCATGAACCACTTTATCATGTAGCACTTTAACTTTTGAAAAATGCTTTATAGATATCATCTCATCTGGTCTTCAAAACAACCCTGGGAGGTAGGGGATATTATTCCATTTCACAAAGGAAATTGAGGCTCCAAAACTTGTCCCAGATCATACAACTAGGAAGAGTCTGAGGCAGGATTTAAACTCAGGTCTTCCTGATTCCAAGTCCTAGCTGCCAAATAAATATGGTACCTAAAAAAAGTACAGTTGAAGATGTGAAGGGTATGTGATTTCATCAATGTGGCCAACTTCTGCTCCTGGTTGGACACTCCTTCCTATAATGTAGATTAAAACTTTCATGAAATAGTCACTAAAGCCAAGGGAGTTGCTTGAATTATCTAGAGAAGATGTTGTTACTAGCCCTAGTGATACATTTATTAAGTATTAATAATGGGACAGAAACCCCAGTCTTTCTGAGTCTCAAGCCCAGAACTCTATCCACTGTTTCACTGCTTCTGAAGATGAAATATGTGTATGAAGTACATACGTACATAGGGGTGAGAAGCACTAGTAACTGGGAAGATCAGGAAAGGCTTTATATAAGAAGATGTCCTGATGGAAGCTGGAGATTTCAGAAGTAAAGGTGAAGAAGAATATTCCGGGCAGGAGGGGAATATTTGCCAAGGCACCAAAGAGGGTGATATAATGTCACATAAGGGAAACAGCAACTGGTCCAGTTTGGCTGGAGAGTAATGTCTAGAAAGGTGAACTGAAGATACCATGAAAAGTTTTAAATGTCAAACAAGAGCTTGTATTTTATCCAAAAGACAACAGGAAGCCACCGAAGACTCTTCAGCAGGAGAAGGTCAGCCAGTCCTGTACTTCGGGAAGATTATTTTAGTAGCCAATTGAAGGACAAATCAGAATGGAGAGATTAGAAGTGGGAAGAGAATAAAACAACTGCAAGGTCTAGATGAGAGATTACTAAAGGTGTGAACTAAGCTGATGGCTGTTGAGTGGAAACAAGGGGATGGTTTCAAGAGCTGGCATGGAAGTAGAGCCTCCAAGATTTGGTGACTAATTAGATTTGGAAGCTGAGGGACAAGAAAGAAACAAGGATGATTCCAAGGGCATTGGAACCCTTCACAGACATAGAGGTAGCAAGAGGAAAGGTAGGTTTATTAGGAAAGATGACTATTTCTTCTTTGGACACATCGAGTATTCAGGCATCAGATAACCAAACAAAGGAGACTTAGAAGGCATAGGAACCAGGAGAGAACAATGGCATGAAAGTCACTGGAGGAAAAAGCATCCAGAAAAAAGAGGCAGCCAATGATGTCAAAAGCTACAGAGGAAAAGGGATGATGACTGAGGAAGGGTCAATGGATTTAGAATTCAAGGGATCATTAGTAACCTTGGAAAGGGGAGTTTCAGTTGAATGTTGTAGTCAAAAGTTGGATTGCATTGCCAGAAGAAAGGTCACTAGTAAGTGTCTCAGGCCAAATGTGAACTCAGGAAGATAAGTCTTCCTGACTCCAGGCCCCAATATCCACTGTACCACTTAGCTGCCCTTGTTAGCCACAGGAGAAATGATTTTCTCATTTGTCCCAATAAATAATAGCGCATTGTTGATTTTCTTTGGCCTCTGCCGAAGCTGAGGCTCCATTCCGGGTGGTGCACGGATAACATGGAAGGCCAGACCACTGCTGATTTTCTTACCCTTCCTAGGAGGCACCAGCAGCTCCATCCCCAGCATCAGTTTGATGGTAACAGAGCTAAGGTGTTGATTTTCTTAACCTCCCCTGTGGCTGAGGCTCCAGTAAGGTGGCACTTTGATAGTTATAGAGGGCTGGTTGCTGATTTTTTCATCCATCCCAAAAGAATGTAATAAAAAAAGGAACGTGAGCAGGGCATATGTAGCAGAGTTTTCCTTTTTATATCTGTCACTAAGCATGGAGAATATCTAGTGTGGGAATTCCTTCTACCAAACATATTATCACTTATTATGATACATCTTCCACCTTTCATTTTTTAAGTCTTAAGTTCAACTGTGATTTTGAGTAACTTGCCCAGGATGACAGAGATGTAAATGTTAGAAGTATAATTCCAGTCCAGCTCTTTCTAACTACAAGTTCAATTCTATCCACTTTACCAGTGGAAAGTGGGGCCTCTAAGCTTGCCAGCACATAGTGACACTATTAATGTTTTATTGTATTTTTTTATTTATTTTGTTAAATATTTCCCAATTACATTTTAATCTGGTCTAGCCACTCCACTGACCCTAAGTTGGACACCCCTGCAATACATTATATATTGTCTTTACTTTTAAAACATGGGAAAATATTTCAGCTTATGCTAAAATTCATTGATAGAATCATTCTCAAAAGTTGGGGAGGGGTGTAGGAGGAGAAACCCTATAAAAATAGCAGGTTGATCATTTAACAAAATATCTTTATTATTTCCTATAGGCATTATGGGATATCCAAAGAATGCTTAAAGGATTATTGATGAGGAAGATGACATTAAAATATTTAATTTTCACACAGTAAAAAATTAAGATTAGACTTTATTATAGTTCTAGAGCTCTATCAGTACTACCTAGAAAACTCATGTTTTCCTAGTCTCTGATTTTACCAGGGGTGGGGAACCTGTAGCCTCAAGGCCACATGGGGCCCTCTCGGTCCTCAAGTGTAGCCCTTTGACTGACTTTTCGATTCAGTCAAAGGGCTACACTTGAGGACTGAGAGGGCCCCATGCGGCCTTGAGCTTTTAAAAATTAGATAACAAGATCTATAGTATAGATTTCACGTTATTGCTGTGGGACTGAAATAAAGTAAGGGATGTAAAGATCTTTGTTAGCTTTTAAGTGCTATACAGACGTCAGTCATCATCATTAATTTGTCATATAATTATATTATATATTATCTATTAAATTATTTGTGTCCCTGAAAGCTGCTAATATCCACCGAACGCATTTTTGCCATTGTAAGAAATACTAGCTTAACTGATGGGATAAAAATGTACTTCTTAACATTGGAAACATCAAAACAAACATGCTTATTAACACATGATCTTATTGAACGTCACATCAGAGAGAAAGGTACTCAAAACTTACCAAGGTGGGGGGAAAAGCTTTCTTATAATGTTAATACACCTTTCAAAATAACCATAAACTATTTTTCATTTAAGTTTGGAGGCTTAAGAGATACTCTAGCTATTTTTCTCACACAAATCAGGCTTTACACTGCATTCAATTAATTCAAGTAAAGAAGTTTTTACTTACTGAACACACAAAGCATGTATCATGCCAGGTATGACCCAGAGCTTCCAGAAACAGATCACCAGCTTCTATGGGAAATTCACATCCATGGCATATGGTACCAAATAGAGCATAGTAATCTGCAGGGAGGAAAAGACAGAGAAATTGATGAGAAATCTCAGTCATTACTTTCCCCAATTCTTTCATTTTTCATTCATTCAGAAAGTACAAACAAAAAATTATTTTGATGAAGTAGGCAAATACTACAAGAAGGAGGCCTGATTTCTGTTTTGTGTACTACCATGTGTATCTGAAAATTTATTATCCTGAGGAATAAAGTTCTTTCTCAAAGAGTTATTGTAAAGTTAACCTGTTTGCTGAGTTTTAAGTGGATTTTTATGACTTTAAAGAAGATATCTGATAAGTACTACTTTAGTAGTGTTAGTTATTAAAATTTTAAAAAAACAAATCAGCTGAAGTATTAAATACCCTTTTGTTTCCAAGTAGTAGAGTTAAAATGTTTAGAAAGTCAAGTACAAGTGTTTTTGTTTTTTTTATTTTTGGGGAGATGAGGAAATGTGAGGAAAAATACTGAGTTTTCAAAATTGTTGACCTGTGAACTGATACAGAAAATGTTCCCTTTGTATCACAACGAATTTTTTAGAAAAGCACTAAGATATTAAAATGGTGGAAACTTTTCTCTAGCTGCACTCATTACCTGAAAGCTACTCATATCTATTCCTTTTCTTGGATCTGATGCCTTGAGACAGGAGTCATTAAAGCCAACACTCACCTCTCCAGTTTCCCTAAAGTTCTGGCTTACTTTTGGCACTCAGCTAGGCATGAAGAGAAAGATGGTGGTAATGAAGACACTATATGACAACTTATGCAAATCCTCTGAAAGTCAGCTTTTGACGAGATGGTTCTGTATTTGGGATTTGTTTTAAATAAATGTTCAGTGAGAGACTTGCCATCACTTCCCACCTGACTGAACTGCTGGACTTCACCATGGTCTCTGGAATCTGATTTGACAAGGTCACTCCACCTGAAACTCACACCCTGCCCACCCTTCCCTCTGATTAGAGAGGGTGAAGACTGGATAGTGGTGAGCTCCTCCCAGATCCTCCATTTAAGGCTCAGGGCAGCCATCTCATCATTTCTGGCTGCATTCCTGGACTACATCATATTCCCACAGCAGAAACCCTCCCTCCACTACCCATCTCCCTTTCCATTTCTTTTAACCTGATGTCTTTTCCCATTAGATCACAAGCTACTTGAGGGCAGGGACTTTCTTTTACCTTTCTTTCTATCCTGTGTTAGTACAATGTACATAATAAGCACTTAATAAATGTTTACTGATTGATATGTTTCTTCTTGGTAATACTTAATTTTCCTTTATCCAGAAATTTATAACTGATTCCTATTTAATACCTCTTATCTCATGTCAGCCACTAAAATGCCTAAAAATGCCAAAGTATGAAGACTAACAATCCAGTTACTAGCATACTCTACCATTACAGAATATTAGCAATAAGGTTCTACCTTTCTGACAATGTCAAGGCTACTTAATATTGAATAGAAACAAATTCCTGCTGTTGAAATATTGCATAGAGGATCTAACTCTGGTGGGGAAGAAAAGGCCCTCAATTACTGTGTCGCGTTGCCGCGGGGCTTCACAAGTGACATTCTTAACTGAGTTTCTGGCTTCAGCTGGTTTGTGTCATAACTATATTGGCCTCAATTTTCTGTTAGTGCACTTTCCTTACAATCTTATGACTTCATGGTGGAAATCCATAGAAAAAAATACAATTTAACTTGACATAGCTTTTAGTGATAAAACATTAATAAGATTTTCTTTTGAAGAAAGAAAAGATTTGTCTCTGGCAAGACTAAAATAGAGTACGTCAAGATATTTTTTCTTTCATGCAGGTTTTATCATTATTAATATTATTATTATTTCACATTACTAGAAGGCTGGCCAAAAGTGATTTTTTTTTTCTGCAACACTCAATTAAGATTTGGCTCCCAAGGTATGGAAAGGTTATGATCAGCATTGGTAGAGATATCTAACACCAATTAAACCAGGCAACACTTCCCCCACATTCTGTCCCCTGACATGAGCCTGCTGAGAAGTATCAGGGAAGTAATTTGGGTTCTGATCCACCTTTACTCTATAAAACCTTGATGTTTTTCAGATTTTTACCAACATTTATTATGGAACACCAAAGGATCCATGTTCCATGATCAAGGTATAGAGTTGGGAAGGACCTTAGAGATTATGTAGTCCAACACCCCAGGTTAAAGATAGAGAAACTGAGGCCTAGTGAGATTAAGTGACTTGTCCAAGGAAATAAAGGTAGTAAGCGTCAGAAGCAGAATTTGAACCCAGGTCTTCTGACTCCAGAAAGTCTTCCTCATATCATAATGCCTCTCATAACTTAATTAGTAACAGTTAAAGTAAAATGAAATAAATCAACAGCAGAATAAGTAAAAGACCACGTGGAAACTGGGAGACGTGGAGGTGGTTGTAAGCATTTTTGAGAGAAATTAAAGGAGAGAGAAAGACAGAGAGAGAGAGAAAAGAGAGGAGAGAGAAAAGAGAGGAGAGAGAAAAGAGAAGCGAGAGAGTGAGAGAGAGGAGAGAGGAGAGAGAGAAAGAGAAGGGGAGAGAGAAAGAGAGAAGAGAAAAGGAGAGAAGAGAGATGAGAAATGATTTTCTATCAAGCTGAAAGTTACAAGCCCTTTGATTTCAGAGGAATAAGGACCATGTGGCTCTCTTGTTTTACTTTACTGTGCCTTCTACAGATGTACCTAAAGGCAGCTGTTGTCAAAGTGGATGGAGAGTTGGGCCTGGAGCTAGGAAGAAAGGAGTTCAAATTCAATTCCAGACACTAACTAGCTGTGTAACTCTAGGCAAGTAACCACTGTCTGCCTTGGTTTCCTCAGATATAAAATGAAGATAATAATAGCACCTACTTGCCAGAGTAATTGTGAGGATCAAGTGAAATAATATTTATAAAGCACTTGGCACAATATCTGACCCATGATAAGCTCTGAATAAATGTCTGTTTCCTTCCTTTTTTTTTTTTTTGGCTAGGCAATAGGGTTAAGTGACTTGCCCAAGGTCACACAGCTAGTAAGTGTCAAGAGTCTGAGGCCAAATTTGAACTCAGGTCCTCCCGACTCCAGGGCAGTTGCTCTATCTACTATGCACACTAGCTGCTCTGCTTCCTTTCTGTTTCAAAGAACACCAAAGGCCCAGAGCCAGCTCTGCACTCCCCACGGGAGCTAAGGGGAGCAAGAAGGAATAAAGAGAGAAGGTATGAGATACCTGGTTGAATTGTGACATCCTTGCCCTCCCACAGCTCAATGTTTGAGTGTGCAGATTTAATTGGTCTGCCCTATACAGTCCATTTAGATAAGCCTCTTCTAGCAACACAGCTGCTATTTAAAAGCAGAAAAAAAGCATTTGTGTGTGTATGTGTTTGACAGGGACTACAAGAGCAAAACATTTATGTTTAAAGGGGGTGCTAGATATGGGTCAGAAAAAAGCCAAGAAGCAATGGCTTATAGAAAATGTTTTACAGTTTTTTAGGGTGAGGTGGGGGTGGGAATATTCAGAGCTCATGTTAAATAAGTACGCCCACTTATTATGAAATATATATGTACATATGTAATATATGCTTGTGTGTGTGTGTGTGTGTGTGTGTGTGTGTGTATATACACACACATACATGCATGTAAACAAAGTCTAGGATATTAAGATAAATTTTTCTAAGGAAACAATGCTAGACAAGACCAGGCTCACTCTTTGTAAAAAATGTGTGTGTGTGAAAGGATTTTAAGTTAAATTGAAGGCAGCTGCTAAAAACATCAGTTTAGCATATTTACCATGTTTTGCAAAACTTTTCAAATTCATAATGATTCTTTCAACATGTACTGTATTCATTTTGAGCTGAGGGAGACAGTAAAATATATATTTATAACCCAATCAAGCAAAATACTCCTAGCGAATAGTGGTCGTGCCCAAACCCCACTGTGAAGTTGAGAATCCTTTGTGTCCTGAGAGTTTAGTATAAAGAGAACATAAGAAATAAAGTAAAAATAAGAAAGCAATAAAAAATACTAATATTTTTATTGGTCTATTTCAATTTTCTCCAGAAATACTAAAAAGCATCATAAAATTCACTCAACCATTTAATATTTAGTGCTCCATCTGAATCATTTTCAAATCCTTGTGGATTAGCATCTGTTTACTTAAAATACTTTATTAGTATTGTTAGCATTTCTGGTTTTTTTTTTCTTATTGCAAAGCATAGCAGAAACTAGAGGAAAAAAGTCCAAAGGCCAGGAGGAAGAAACCTTTGAAATCATAACACTGCACTCAGCAAAGCTTAGAGAGGATGGAACTCTGCTTAAGATGGAGCTTTGCCTCAGTTTTAAGGGGAACTGCTCTCTCTCTACTGTATGAAAAGCAGATAAGGGAGAGGGGAGTTTAATGGCTTCTCAACATTTCCTGAAGTATAGCTTCATATAAAGTGATCTCATCATCTGTTCTGAGGCACTATGAAGTATTCTTAGCACATAACATATATCATATACAAATGTAAGGATTCCAAACTATTCTAAAAACAAATACAGATGGAAGGCCTTGGAGAGAGCCATGTCATTATTCCCCTAAATTCCTTTTTAAAAAAATCATTCCTTGGAATATGCATAGCTTGATTATTGAAGACAGAATTTTAAAAATACTGTTGGAAACGAAACACTTCAACCCACAAATTAACAGAACAATGCCATTTTTTAACTTTTATATAAAGATAACTGTGAAAAAGATAATTTTTACGTTTTATACAAACTTGGATTTGGAAAGCTGAGCTACATTTTTTTTTTAACCTGTAAATCTGGGATACTACCACCTGTTGTGTTTATTCTTACCTGCTGCAATGGTTAAATGATATCATACATATGAAGAGCTTTGCAAAATGCAATATAAATGCTAAATAAATGCCAACTATTATTCTTGTTTTTATTAACTTTTCAAATGGAAAAGAATATACAATTAAATATAAACTATCTCAAGGATACGCAATTTCAATATTTTGAACCTGGAAATTGGTTTCTTATCACATCTCATTTATAATGCACACTAACAGATATTTACTAAATTGGAAGAAAAATATGCTCAGTAGTTAAAAAGATTAAGGGTACAGACTAGGAGGTGGGGAACCTACAGCCTCGAGGCTACATGTGGCCCTCTAGGTCCTCAAGTGTGACCCTTTGACTGAATCCAAACTTCACAGAACAAATGTGTTCTATGATTTAGTCAAAGAGCTGCACCCTACCCCCTGGCACCACACCTTTGCTTTTATTGGAGTAGGGAACTTCTAGGTGAGGAAACCCCCCTCTTTACTGGGGTGAAGCTGGTACCTTTTCTGCAACTTAGAGCCTTAGAGAGATGTTTAGAGCACTGAAAGTTAAATGACTTGCTCAAAGTCACAAAACCATTATGTGTCAAAGGGGAACTTGAACTCAGGTCTTTATGGCCTTACAATTCAAAAAGATGATGTAAGAGGTGAAAAAAAGTAAATTTTGAGAAATAGTAGCAATTTTCCTATAGATTAAGTCTGACTCTTCCTCTTTACCGTATGTCATGTGGGGCTCCATAAGAATCATGCTGGATCTCAAGACTTTGCTCACCCGTTTCACAGTAGGGATCACCATCTTCCAAGTGGAAAACGTTGTTTCGAATGGGCTTATTGCAGGCCACACATACAAAACCAGGAAACATGCCAAGTCTGTTTCAAAGCGTTGATGACTTCCTGTTCCAGAAAGTGAAAAAAAAAATTCAATTATATATGAAAGAAGATGGTAATATAATCGATATGTAAGAGGTTGTTCTCATAGTACTATTGCTCTTTTAATGTTCAGATAGGGCCAGCGTAGGATGTTTTGCTTCCCTGGGCAAACAACGATTATGCCATTACCCTGGGTGTAAATGCATTGGTAGAATAAGAAAGAGGTCAATCAGGGCTGAGAGGTGGTCAAAGGGAGATAGAAGAACAGCCACAGTGTCTACCCCAGCAAGAAGGGTCATGAGGGCAGAGCTCACTCCTGGTTTGTTTTGTGTGTGCGCCACTCCCCGATACGTACTGCTCCAAATGAAGGGAGACTCATCCTTCCTTCTCCACACAAGGAAAAACCTGGGAACCTTCTATGACTGATGACAGAATGCATGTATTTTTCACACATACAAACCGAACACTCCAAACAGTTATTCTTCTATTTGAATACGTCCCATGCTATGACTCTTTCTTCTGAAACTAAGTATTTCACAAATATCCTTACCTGCATTCTGTTTCCCTAAACATCATACCCAGGAAAAGGATGTCAACACCACAAACTTATGTTTTATTTCTATACATTATAGGGGAATAACATAGAGAAATGTCTCACCTCCAAGATACTTTCTCGGTAACCCCAAACAGGTTATTTAACCTCTCAGGGCCCTGAGAAACACTCTAAAATTGCAGGAAAGATGCTGACCTGCATGGAGGAAGGAATTTCCTCACCCAGTAGTCCCCAGACCAGGGCTTCTTAAACTTTTTCCACTCGTGACCTCTCAGCAGCGTTCATTGGCATTGAGTGACCTGAGAGTATGCGCAGTGCAAAGTGCGTATGCTCTGTGTTCAGAACCAAGGCTGCAGTGAAGTTACCCGATTTAACACAGGCAAGAGCTGCCAGAAACACCTCAGATTCATTACGCGTTTGACTTTTAATTAACTTTTGGTCATTGAGCATTCCCAAACCTTTTACTGACAAATTTTTCATAACCCCATGTGGGACAGCAACCCACACTTTAAGAAGTGCTGCCCTGGGGGCGGCTAGGTGGTATAGTGAATACAGCTCTGGCCTTGGAGTCAGGAGGACCTGAGTTCAAATCTGGCCTCAGACACCTAACACTTACTAGTTGTGTGACCTTGGGCAAGTCACTTAACCCCAATCTTCTCACCAAAAAGAAAAAAAAAAGAAGTGCTGCCCTAAACCAATGAAATTATAGACTCAATCCTTAATCCTGACAAGGATGTAATGTAATCAGTCATTAGTTAGTTTTAAAATATTTATGATTACAAAATTCTGTTTTGATTGTGCTAGTTTTATGATAAAAATGTTTAACTCTTTCTAAAACGGTACTAGGAAATATGGATTTGAGCCAATAAGGAGGCTTGTGCTCCAGACATGAAGGCCTGGTAGGTGAATCAAATTAGAAGCAGAATATCTGGTTGGATTGTATTGCTAGGCATCATCTTTAATACCCCATGAACAACGGAAGCAGTGCTCCAAGGTCCCTTTCTTTTGGTCCAACTCTAATGACTCAGATTCACAGAGAATCAGAGTAGAAAAAAATCAGAAGCAGCAAGATTTGCAAGTACAAATATTTATTAAAACTTAAGGCATCAGCCTTCACCTCTGACACTACTGGACTCCAGGGAAACTTCAGAGATTATAAAATTGCAGGTCTGCTAATCTACATTGGTAGAAGAAGTTGGTTGGTCATAAGAAGCTCCTTACATTAATGAAATCACAGGTGTAGACCAGAAAAAAAAATCAATTCTGATCAGTTCTGTTGATTTTTTAACCTTTTCTTTTTTTGTCTTTAAAAATGGGATGGCTCCCTGAGAAAGAAGCAGGGGAGAGACACTGGGGGAAATTATGGTAATAAAAAAAAAAGACATCAACATTTATTCAAAATAAAAGAAAATGACAAAGAAGAGTTAGCTAATAAGAATTAACTGCGTAGTATAGTTTTCAGCACAGCAGATATAGCGGTCAGGAGACGTGGGTTTGAAAACTGCCTCTTACCCTTAACCACTGTGATCATGGTGAGGTCACCAAACTCCTCTGACTCTTAGTTTCTTTCCTAATAATTTGGGGATAACGCTAAGTGCACTCAAGTGCTTTGTAACATTTGAAAGTAGTAAATAAATAGATCTCATCGTTATTAATATGGCTTGGTTATAATCATAAAGCAATTTGGAGGCAATGAGCAACAAAGCAGTAATTCAGATCTAAAAAGAATGCCGTCAGAAATCTACAACAAAGAGATAATTGCATTTGCTTTTATGCCTGGTAGAGCAAACTGGGATATTAGATCACAGGATTGATCACAGATTCAGATCTTGCAGATGATGTAATCAAAGAAACTTGCCCAAGGTAACAAACCCAAGGCCTCTTACCTCAAATACTACCTCCTTTTCACTTGATCAGTCTACCTCCCAGAATGTCCTAAGTCTCTGGGGAGATATTTTCACATCTGTCCTTGCCCCACATTGCTACAACAGGTGAGTAAAGCTTCTACACTGTGTTGTAATGGCTTCAGCTATATCTTCATAGGGAGGTCTGATGCCATTTCTAAAGTGGCAGATAGTAATTTCCTTTTGTCAGAAACCAATTTAATAGATATGATTTAGTTGACTACTTCATTAGGTTTCACAAAACATTAAGTAACCACCAGTCTACTTCCCAGTTAGTGAGATAAGACTATATTTTTTAAAGAGCACTATAATTCGGCAAAAGCTCAGGAATCTGATTTCTAGGAAGTGTGTTGGAGAAATTCCCATGATACTAAGTTGGTTTCCAGAACAAATAGGTCACTGCGGTTTCTTTCTCTTCCAAAAAGACGTATACTCCTCCATAGGCAACAAGGGAAATGCCCAGACTCTGACCTCAAAATCCAGTTTTAAAAACTCCAGAGAAGAAAATAACAACACTTATTTTCTGTAAACCTTGATGAATTCATCTGTCCTCAATTCACTCTTTCAGCAAAACGTGTGGTTTTAGCTTTTTCTGTCGAAAGTCTGTTTCCATTACCTACTCAGCCTCATAAAATTGAAGTTATATTTTAAAATATGATTATGTATGTGTAAGAAAAATACAACATTTCTATACTTCATATTTTTCGAATGTTTCATGAGGTCCTACGGTTGAACCCTAGCAGGTAGAAAAAAATCCCGGTCTTAAAAGAAGGCTGGAATTTAATTAAAACAGTAAAGGTGTCAATGTTGAGGACTATTGTGTGTGTGGTCTGACTAGACTCAACCCAGGTTGCCTTTCTCTTCTTAAGCAAGCAGCATACTGGGAAGGCAGCCCACCCAGGGCCCTGAGAATCCACAGTAAATTATTTTTGCTTGGTGGCCTAGCTTCTACCAGCCAAACAGGAAAACAGCAAGATGAAACCACAGGCTGCCTTACCTATCCTCCTGAGTCTCATGAGGCTATATCTGGGGGGCAGGAGGGTTAGGTTTTGGGGGATGGGCACTTCTGCTCAGTTCTGCCCCCCCCCACCAGTGACAAGAGCACAAAACAAGAAGGAAGGGACAAGGACATCTCCAAATAGAAATATACCCTTGGAAGAAACAAAAACACATGCTCTAAAAAGCTTTCCCAAACTTACTCCCAGGATCTTCCTTTGGCAGCGAACACATTCAGGGGCAAAGAATTTCTCATAGCACAGCTCACAGTACAGGGCTCCCTTCTCCTCCACAAATCCAATGTAAGCCATGGTGTTTTTGCAGTGGGCACAGTTAAACTCTTCTGGATGCCAGGATTTTCCCAACGCCACTAGGAAAGGTCCTCTGTCAAAAGAAATAATTCCCATTTTCCTCAGAAACATAACATCCGTTAGCACATACTTGGAGCGCTTATAGCAATGTATTCGAGTCTTTAAACTTCAGATTGGGTCTCTGTGTAGCACTTTCCTTGGAACCTCAGAGTTCCTCAAAATTCCATGATTATTTGATAGATGAAGAAACAAAAAAGGGAAATGAGTTGCCCATGGGCACACAGCTTAATAAGGTTAAGAGTGAAGATTCAAAGTCAATACAACTTATGTGAAGTCCAGTCAGATGACACCATGCAAAGCTAATTTATGCCCACTGTATGGAAGCTCTCTGTTGGTTTATATGGGGAAAAGAATGGAGGAAAGGACAGTCAAGGTATTGCTCTGCAAAAGACCAATGCTGAGTGTTTTTTTTCCTCTTGCACAGAGAATACATAGATTTTTATATACTTTAGTGATATAAAAAGACAACCCGGCTAAAAATGATGATGTTGATGACCCAAGTATGATAAGAACTAAAATCACCTGATACAGAAAGGTAACAAAGCTGTCATTTCTTCTTGTATATTTTTTCGGTCAATGAACATTTACTAAGCATGTGCTAGGTACTGGGCCAAGCAGTGGAGATACAAAAAAGAGGCAAGAGATAGTCCCTTTCCCCAAGGAGCTCACCACTGTACACACCTGTACTTTTTTAATCTATGCCTACTGCAAGACATCCTGATTAAACAACGCCTGCTACTTTAAAAAATAATTATAATAATAACAGCTGACATTTATATAGCTCTTACTATGTGCCAGGCACTACAATTACTATCTCTTTTGATCCTCACGACAACCCTGAGAGGTAGGTGCTATTCTTATCCCCATTTTACAGATGAGGAAACTGAGGCAAAAAGGGATCAGGTGACTTGTCCAAGGTCACAGAGTAAGTGTGATGTAGTCAATGTCATAGTGTGGAATGATGAACGCAACAACTAAGTTCAAGTCCTGCCTTTGCCAAAAAGACCATGTGATCCTAAGCAACTCACTTTACCTCTCTGAGGCAGACTGGTTTTCCCCCTTTCTCAAATTTTTTCTCAAAACACTTATTTCTCAGCTCTATTAAACACAATCATCCCATCCCAAAAATGAATATTAAACCTAAAGGACACACAGTACATTAACTACTCTGATGTATTATGGCTTATTCCAACTCACATGAAAGGGGGCTTAATTTAATTTAAAAAGAAATATCCTTTGCTGCACATTTGTTTCAAAGGACCAAATGTTTAAAGGAGCTTTTATTCCATTAGTCATGATACAGTCACAAACTGATAAGATGGGTTTAGTCTGCTTAACAAGAATCCATTAGATAACCATATCTTGGCATCAGGATCACAGGGATGGATGAACCACCGTAAGCCTCTATATAATGTACTTTTCCTGCAGCTACAACATAATGCCTTGCACTGATGGAGGGCCTTTATCTCCAACGTGCTTTTAAATTTGTTATGTAATTTGTCCATACAACATTCCTGTGAGATAGACCAGGGCAGTTATTATGAGCCTGACTTTACGGCAAGGAGATCTAACAGACACGTCAAATGATCTGCCCATCATCAAAGTCATCAGTGGCTAAACCAGAATCAGAACCTGGGGAGCCTGATACTTAGCCCCCTATTGTATGAAGTTTGTTATACTGACTTTGAACTTCATACCAACAATCAGCATTGACTTAAAGACCATGGCGGAAGGGCAGTGTTGGACAGTTACACAGTTATCCCTGTATATCTCGGGGGTTAGGGGTATGGTGCTCCTGTGACCTCAAAAATCTGTGTAAAATTTTTTGGTCCTTCCTTTATGCTAGAGAAGAAGTATGAATTATTATGGTATTTAAAATATGTTGATATCATATAATTCTGTACATATATTTTATGCACTTCTCACTTTCTAAACTTTTTTTCTGTGTCATCTGCTGTCCTCTGCAAAGCTCCCCCAAATTTCCTTTAATTTCTTATGCTGACCCACAACATATCAAAACCTTGATGGGGAAAGTCATGAGGTGGAAGGGATAATTGAACACTAGACACTTGACTGCTAGGCAGATGACTTCGTGGCCCAGACATAGAAATCGGTATTAAGATTTCATGACATTTTTCTTCTTGGGGTTCAGAAATTAACATTACTTCCTTCCTTTCTTTAAAAACAGCCAAGCTTTCCTGACCCTGCTCTCCTTCCCAGTATCCTTGAGAAACTGAAATGGCAAAATATTTAAATGTTAGACTTAGAAAACACATATGATTGAAATCTCATAAAAGTGGGAAGGTGTAGAAGGGGCAGGTGTAGAAATCCTCACTTCCACTGAAGTTGCTGCTGACTTAGAAAGTTACACTAAATAAAATTCCATTTTATTAGATCTGTCTCTAGGACAGTACAACTGTTTCCTTTCATTCTGATTCGTGGGAAAAGATTTTTAGAGGAAGTGGAACTAAACAGTTTTGTGAAAACCACTACTGCGCCTTTAAGAAAGAATTCTCAAATGCCTTACCTGCTCCTGACTCCAGATTCCTGTAGTCCTGGCTGCAATTGCCCACAGTGATCTGCCCTGTGCTCTCCAGCCTCCTAGTACAGGTACCTTTCCCATCAGGGCCCTTTCAGTTACATATAGATTAACTAATCCAAACCCTTCCAAAAGTGCTCTCTTCTAGCACTGTGTCAGCACTGACTAATTTATGGCCTCATTAACACAGTACTGAAAAGGTTCATATAATTCCAGATAGGATTAAGTTTCTCTTTGCCCGCACAAGAATAACAGATTTAGATATCTACAAAGTGTAAGAAGGGATTCAGTTATCTCCACAATGAATGTTGTGCACTCTATGAGTTTCAATTAAATACCTGTTGATTGAAAAAGGCGGGGAGGGGAAGGAGTGGCAAATCTGGTTCACTGCACTTGTAAGTATGGCTGAAACCATAAAACCAAACTTTTTTACAATGACTGTCCCCCCCATCCTCTAATAATCTTATGATAAAAAAGGGCAGGCACACCAGGGAAAAAATGCAGTGAAATAGCAAAGGCTCCTAAGAATGAAGGCAGAAAAGTGAAAGAAGGAAATGGAATACAGAGGCAAGGGTGTGTACTTTTAAAAAATCATCCACCCCTGATTCGTGGGAGAGGAAACATAATCCAGGGCTTCATAAGCGAAACGACCTTTTATTCTGAAGGAGTAAGAAACACAGGATGTTTTCCTCCTCCCCTTTTAAAATTAAAAAACAAAACAGAGCTCCATACAATTAATATAACAAATAATAAAAATAATATCCTTCAGTTCAATTTACTGGTTCATACCCAACACTGTCCTCCCATCTCCATACACAGGAAGGTGGGATGTCGTGAAAGGTGGGAGGTCCCTAAGCTTTCTGACCCCCATATTAACTTCAGCTGGCCTAGAGGCACATACCAAAAATGAGGCCATTCTTTTCCCTTTTGGTACGAAAATATCATGATTTCCAAAAAAGACAGAGATGTTATTCCATAGAGGAATATCACTCCTAAACAGGGAATTTAAAGTTTTTGTCCTTTGAAAATAAGAGTGAATTTCAGAAATACCTACATTTCCAAACTTGGGGTAGGAAGCAAAATACTTTTTGTAAACAGTACAGGAAAATTTAGTTAATACTTCAGTCTAGAGTGTCACATGTAAAAAAAAAAAGTCAAGCAAAGATTTATACTGAAATGGGCTCCTTTCTCAACTCTGACTCTTAGAATCCCTAGTTTATTTACCTCAAAACTGAGTAAGCACCATCTTCTGTAAGCTTTTTCCTGATTCTCCTCTGTATTGAGCACCTTCACCATTACCTTGTATTTACTTGGTATATATCTTCTGTGTACTTATGTGCATTTATATGTGTGTACTTACATGTATATGTGTACTTATATACACTTATATATCCCCATACAGTGCCTGACACACATTTGTTTGTCTGTGTCTAACTCTTCCTGACCTCATTTTTCGGAGTTTTCTTGGTAGAAATACTAGAGTGGTTTGCCATTTCCTTCTCCACCCCATTTTACAAATGAGAAACTGAGGCAAACAGGGTTAAGTAACTTGCCCAGTAAGTGTCTGAGGTCACATGTGAACTCAGGGAAATGAGTCTTCCTGATTCCAAGCCCAGTACTCTATCCACTACGCTACCTCGCTACCTCCTGCCCTTAGCAAGGGCTAAATGAATGCTGTTATTCATTTGATTTAGAAACAGAAGGGGAAAGAGAAGAATGTGTGGTGTGCACAGAACAAAGAGATAAAGATACAGTAAGAAAGTGGATCAAGGGGAGGAGAGAATGCGGGGGCAAGGGAGGGCAGTGAGATACATAAGCACAATATACAGGCAAAAAGAGACAACAAAGGTAGACACAGAAAGTATCTTTTTTTGAAATTTAAAAAAAAAACACATCGGCTATGGAAAGTATTTTACTTCCTATCCAAAGTTTGGAATGGTAGGGACTGCTAAAATTAATTTAATTTCCAGTTTGGGAAGGTGAAGCAAATTACAAAGAAAGATATGTTTTCATGGAATTACACTTCTGCCTTTTAGGAAATTGCAAATGACAGCTTTGGAAATTTTTGCATTTTCACAAGAAAAAGAAAAATTGATGGTCTCATCTTTTGGCATTTACCTCCAAGGTGAGTGAAATTAATATAGGAAGCAAAGGATCTTGGGACTAAAGGCCTTTCACTATGCCCAGAGTTCCTTCTCCTCTACCAGACCCCCTAATTTGCTTCTATATTCCTTTGTTGATTAAGGCGATGCCTAGAAAACACCAGAATTAGTCAAATGATTTATTTTAAAGCACTTTTGTGAAATCAATCAGCCACACGGGTTTCTTAGTACTTAGACCAAATAGATGACTGAATTGGTTGATTTTTTTCACTTTTGCTCTGGTATCCATCCCCTAGATACATGGTAAGCTTCATGGGAACAGAGGACAGGTCAAAACAAAACAAAACAAAACCAAAAGGCATAGTATATAGAAGAAGAAATCAAAGCTCATTGATGTTCCATAAGAAAGAAGTGAAGTTGGAATACTGCTGGTAACTGTGATTTTAATGAAGTTAAATTCTACAGCCAAGGAAATAATTTTTCATTTGGACCCAATTCCCCAGATGTAAGCAAAATATATTTCAGTACATAATAAATCTGATTTACTAGATTTCTCTCTCTCTCTCTCTCTCTCTCTCTCTCTCTCTCTCTCTCTCTCTCTCTCTCTCTCTTTTTAGGCAATTGGGGTTAAGCGACTTGCCCAGGGTCACATAGCTACGAAGTGTCATGTATCGGGCTGAGGTCGCATTTGAACTCAAGTCCTCCTGACTTCAGGGCCGATGCTCTACCCACTGCACCACCTAGCTGCCCCAATTTTCTTTCTTTTATACCCAATCTCTCCCCTCTTTTAATCTGTCTTCCAAATAGCTGTCACATTTATATTGTTTATATTCTTATATTCTGACCACATTGTTTCTCTGCTCAAAACTCTGCAGAGGCTTTCTATTATCTGTAGGGGCATTTTCAGGCCTCCCCAACCTGGTTTCTATCTTTCAGTATAACTTGCTTCCTTCAAGTTTCAACTTGGGTGACATTCTTACATGACACTTTGTTTAATAGCCCTTCAAAATAACTTTATTTATTGCAAACATATTGTATTCCCTACCCACACATCCCACAGCAGAATATAAGCTTATAGAGGACAGAGTTTATTTCAGTTTTGTCTTTGTATTTCTGAAACCTATCACAATGCCTAACTTAATAAATATTTATTGAACTAAAGCCAACAATAAATGTAGGTACTCATTTGGGACAGGAAGGGATGCCCCTACTGTTACAATAAGATTTTTAAAAGTCTCAGTAGGGTTCTCCTCTAAAACATCCCAATACCTGCAAAAAACCACACACACACACACACACACACACACACACACACACACACACACACACAGAGAAAAAGACAGAAAAACAAATAAAACAAACAAATAAACCCAGCTATGAGGTAAGTAAATTCTATGCAGTACAACTCAGGAGAAACTTTTTCAATATCGCAAGAAAAAAATCATTTCACAGAATATCACATATAAAAAAATAAATAATGGAGGTCGGGTTTGGGGAACCTAAGTGTATTTTAAGGAGGCAATCAGTTTAGCTCCAAAACTTGGGTGGCTGAATCTCTGAAGTTCTCTAAAACATTATTTTTATAGCTTCATTAGAAAAATAAATTTTGTTTTGCTGCCTGATGTCAGTAAGTTTTGCATTGTTTTGAAATCATCATTAAGTACCAGTGATGTATTGTAGTACTGAATGATGTAATGAAGTATTAATTAAATAACAGTATAAATTAAAGCATCATTAAATGCAGCAACAATTTTCAGTTTGCCAGTCTCCAGTATCGTAGGCCACAGCTGTGACTGTAGAGAAGGTGTATGTGAGAATGTCACTTGAGCCAACTTGTACTTTTGTCTAAGAAATGCTGACTTGAGGGTCTGTGTACCATAATTATGTTCTTATGAACTCTGAACCTACCATAATCTTCCTAAAGTGCTGTGAGGTCTGAGAGGACCAGGTGAATGTGGTCTATTACTTAGTGTTATGTGATCCTGACAAGAGCTAATCCTCCTTCCTAAAACCTCCTGAGTGCATGAAGCTTTGATGCTCAACTGAAAGCAAATTCATGGCTAATTCGAAACAAGATAAAATGTAATAGATGATGAGTGAACAATAAAAGAGGCCAGGCGTATCCTAGCTATCAGTGATTTACTAATTATGCATGCATGAAAATTACTTTCTGGACTAGTATTAAATTTTAAAGCCAATGTGAAGCAATTTCGATGACTTCTCTTACTTTTTCACTGTATTAGCTTCACTGAAGTACAGGTTAGCTAACATAATACAATACATATTTCATAACAACAAACTAATTTTACTTTTTGTTGAAAGGATTAGTTAGTACACACATAATACCACTGAAAACTTGATACTTTTCCTCCTTAACAGGTGTTTCTTCTCCAGATCTTTTGCCGTAAATAGTATTTTATTTTTTCCAATTACATGTAAGGATAGTTTTCAACATTCATTTTTATAAGATTTTGAGTTCCAGGGGCAGCTAGGTGGCACAGTGGATAGAGAACTGGTCCTGAAGTCAGGAGGACCTGAGTTCAAATCCGGCCTCAATACTAGCTGTGTGACCCTGGGCAAGTCACTTAACCCCAACTGCCTAGCAAAAAAAAAAAAAAGATTTTGAGTACCAAATTTTTCTCCCCCCCTTTCCCAAGACAGCAAGTGATCTGATATAGGTTATATATGTGCAATCGTGGAAATGTATTTCCACATTAGTCATGCTGTAAAAGAAGAAACAGAACAAAAGGGAAAAGCTACAAAAACAACAACAAAAATGAAAATAATATGTTTCAATTGGCATTCCAACTCTATAGTTCTTGTTCTCCAGGTTTTTTGTAAGTGAGCACTAAAACCCAGGTAAACCTCAATAGCACAAAAATGCCTCAGGTATTAAAAGTGCCCCTGAAAAAAGTGATTTTATTTTACAGAAAACACAAAATGATGGCAACATGTATAAGTAAAAAGGCTGAAAACCCCTGCTCAGTCTGTAGTGTCATTTACTGAGAGAAATCAGTGCTCCAACAGGTTTTTAACACCCTAACTTAAAACTAAAGCAGCAAATGAGTAAACAAAAACCAAACCTAAAGGAGTTAGAAAATTGGAAAGCTGTTAACTTCTTCACAATATAAAATGCCTCTCTTCCACCAGGAGTGAGGAGCCTGTGGCCTTCTAGGTCCTTGGGAGCCACCTTTTGACTGAGTCCAACTTTTACAGAACAAATCCTTTTATTAAGAGGATCTGTTCTATGAAGTGTAGATTCAAAGTGCCGTGCTTGAGGACCTAAAGGGCCACGTGTGGCCTTGAGGCCACAGATTCTCCACTGCCTCCCTAGACTGTCCCTTATCCCCTGCCCCAGCTATCATTCTGGTCTCATCCTGGACCTTCTGAGCAGCTCTGGGCCCAAGCATATATTGTCCTTCTCCAAGTCAGGGCAAAACCAGAGCAGTGTTTGGGATGAGGCATAAAGGATCAAGAACTTTAACTTTATGCTCTGTGCTGTCATATCCTTATTTTGTTCCAAGTTTTCAGACATTGAAATAAACCTGCAAAATTAATTTTCCTGTTTTAACTATACATTGCATACATGCCTATTTATGGAGGTTAGTCTATGTGCAGTTTCATGTGCAATAATTTTTTTATAATTATGCTATGTTATAGAAATGCTTGTTTTATTCCATAAATTAATTTTAAAAAAAGAAAGTCTGTCACCAAAGATCTCTGGAAAAATACGCGTGCATGTTTCTATGAAGCTTGGATTCAGTCAAAGAGCCGCACTTGTGGACCTACAGGGCCTCATGTGGCCTTGAGCCTGCAGGTTCCCCACTCCTGGAAGGGATACAGATGGCTTTGGAGGAAGGAGGGGCTGTGTTTAAGTCAAACCTCTAACTCATACTAGCCATATACCCTTGGGCAAATCACTCGGCTATTTGGTATCTCTGGTAACCCTCTGAGAGAGTACAGTGCTAACCTGCATGGGTGGAGAGAATTTCTTCAACAGGAAGCTGATTTTATTTCACTAACCAATGAAACCATAGGTTTTATCCCCCCCCCCAAATCCCTTATTCCTCAAATAAGAAAAAGAGTAGGTCCTCACTACAAAAAGGCTGAAGTGCCCTAGCAGGCCAGGTTACATCCAAATGACTTCCTTGACATTTAAGAACTTGGCTCTATCTCTGTTTCCAAACTTATCACCCAGATGTTACCAACATGATATCTCTCTTCTAGTTGGTAAAATAGTGCCTGACATGGAGAAATAGTCCAGGAGTTTGCAGCATCATCATGATCAGTGATAACAAGGTCATTCTAGCTGTTATCTAAAGCTAAAACCATTTTTGATGTGTAAGAGGACATTCATAAAAATGAATACCAACCTGATGACCTGGTTGCACTGGGCGCACATTGGAGTGCGTTTCCCTGCTGGAATGTGCTCAGCTCTCTGCACGTAAGTGTCTTGTTCATTTAGCTGAGGCTGGCCTGGGCTAACTGGTGCAGCTGCTCCAGGTGGAGTAATGTTGTTTGAGATTCTTCCAGTTGATGGAGCTAAGGATTAAAAATGAAGAAAACACCATTAGGAAAATAGTGTTCTCTATTCCACATTAACTAACACACACACACACACACACACACACACACACACATATACATACACACACAAATAAAGATCAGTGTAGGTTAGAGAATTTGATATACTTGTTGTAGGGTCTATCTACCCTCCAGTAATTGCCTGCTGGCCCATCTCATACATGCAGGATATTCCAACATATATTGTTTATTCTTCATTTTTGAATAAGACCAATGACATCACTGGGTGATATCTTGACTTGCACTTAAATTGGATATAGTTGAGGCAAAGTTGTACAAAGTCATCAGCCTCACTCTCTCTGTTCCTGAGTCACTGAAGTCCAGTGGCAGGACAAAAGTCAAGATGACTGATGAAGGCCCAGAAGCAGTGGATGACCTTTGCATCTTTCATGCCTGACCAATCTTTAAGCATGCCTGCTTCAGCCACCTTCATGACCATTAGAACAAATTCTTTTCATCTGCTCATTCCACCAGGGAAAGTCTTTACATGCTTGGGGTAGACATCCCCCTAATTCCAACATATGACATGTTAAACAAAAGTCCATGTGTGAATGCTAACTTTTTGCTACACCTATAAGGTTCTTAAGAATCTTGGGAGTGGCTCAGAAAGAGCTGAGTTGTCAAAAATTCAGTCCAGGAACAAAGCAGCACTTCTTTCTTCCTTTCTCTCTCTCTCTCACTATCTCTGTTTTTCTCTTTCTCCCTTCTTCCCTCCTTCTGTCTGTCTGTCTGTCTCTCTCTCTCTTTCTCCTAAAGCCCCTTATAAGTTTATAGCCAAACATGTGCATGAGTGAGCCCTTGAACCCTGCAAATTTTTCAGAATTCAGCTAAGTGATGAAAGAAATTCTCTATCTCTTGTAGAATAGACCTAGTAAATATACAAAGTCAGTAATGGGGTAAAAGCAGGCTCTTTCTCCACCCACCTCCCAACATGACTGCTTTTCTTCTTCCTTTGCCCCCATCAACCTATTATAATACTTAAAACCCCAAAGTATAGATCTAGAAGCAGAGATAAGAGATCAGACCTCTGCTTCCATACCAATCACTGACCTAAAACCCTAGGTAAGCAAGAAAAAAATGATAAAATATCATGGATTCAAGTTACACATGAGACATTTCCTGCATAAACACTGATGGCTGGAAAATCAACTCTGGTGCTCTTCCTGAAAACTTAAAGCATCCCCTGTCCTTGAGACCTCCTAAAGACCAAGATAATAGCTTTCAAGATTTTATTTACATAACTTCAGTTTTGTGCATAAGCAATGATTTACCACAAGTAAGCAAACTAACTTGATCAATTCTCCTTTTCAAATTAAAAAAAATCTCCCAAACAAGAAGACAGCATTAATCTAGCATCCCAAGGGTAGCACTGCCCCACATTAAATGTTATCCACTAATCAGCAGATAGCACTACAGTCTGAGGTATATGGTTGTGTTGCTTTGAAGAAAAGAAACTCCAAAGTTCAGAATCACAGATTTTGGAACCAAAAAGGACTCAGAGATCCTATGGTTCATTGCTTTTTCTTCAAGTAGAAAAGGTGATATTCTAGTTTTACAGATGAGTGCCAATTTTGGCATTCAATGGTGAAATAACTCTGCCCAAGTAACACAGTTAATATTTTGTGGGAGGAGAACTATAAAAGTCAAGTCTTGCCTTCTAAATAGTTTTCTTTCCACTCTGCATGCAAAGACCTATTTTTAACTTGCATTATAATTATCTGTGTACATATCTAAACTTTCTAATGATTCAAAATTCCTTGAGGGCAGAGACTATATTACTTTTCATATGTGCGTCCACAGCATTTAACCTTGAATTCAATCAAATCCATGATGGCATCACTGTAATACAGAACAATGACAATGTTTGACTGTGATGATTGGAAATCATCGAACAGAGATTAAATTATGCTCAGTTCATTCTTGCAATAACTTTTTGTTATATTGATAATGTGTTGGTCTGCGGAAAAAAAATTACCTAAATCCTGTGAGTAAACACACCAGAAAGTTAGAAAGTTATAGTTGTTTCCCTGATGCATAAAGTTTGGTTTTGCTTCTTTAAAAAACAGCATCATGAAAAAACCTAGAGATACAGAGGGTGTGGTACATTGTTTGCATTTTAGACTTTGACACTTCATTTAGACATTTCATTGACACGGATTAGTACTTCTAATGACTACATACTTCTCCTTGAAACAAAGCCCCACCTTCAAGCAATAACTAGAATTCATAATATGTCAAGAGACATAGGGGACATACTAAAGGGACCCCACCCCCCAAAAAAGGACCTACAGGATGAAATGGCCACTAGCTATACAGCATTAGATGGTGCCAGTGGGTTGGAATTTATATCCTTGGAAGAAACAACCCTATCAAAGAGACATCAGCTCCACTGAAATGTCAGAGATGTATGACAAGCTTACAGGAGGTAAACATCAAAGTCACCGTCTTCAAGGTATATGCAATAAGGATTCTGGAGAATTGAGATTAATTCTTTACCTTTGTATTTCTAGCAACTGATACAGTGTTTGGCATATTATTTATTGAATGATCATTGATTGACTGTTGTTCTGGCATTAAAGAAAAGGGAAACATAAAGGAGATGGAAAAGATAAGAAAATAAAAAGGTCAAAGACAAACATTTTCTTTTCTGTAACTGGGTTGAGGGCACTGGTGAGCAAAATTCACTGTTAATCATTTCCCATGCCACCTGTGCCAGATGTGCCATAAGTCATCCATCCATGCCCACTTTGTCCGTCAAATACCAATCCTAGATTCCATCAGTTTGTGCTGAAGTTTCAGATTTGTTCCTCTCTTACTCAGTCCCAATGATTATCCAAGAGCAAAACCCATGGTGCAATTTACAAAAGCCTCAAAAGACAGATGGATAATGAACTTTACCCAAAAATAAAGAAAAGGAAGACTGCCTTTGTGAAATTGCGAAACTCCTTTAATGGCCTATAATTTCTCCTTTTTTAATATCAATATTCTACTGAGATGATGAGGCTATAAAAGTCATAAAATAATAGTCTTTGAAGAAATAAAAATAATTCTCTCTCCAAGGTCAGTGGAGAGGTACATAGTCAGGGTGAGCACTAGAAAAGAAGGAAATATAAGGAAGAACTACAATAAAGGATGCCATCAAAGAAATGTATTAATCAAAAAAGAACATGGGCAAAAAAAACAATGTGTAAAACAAAAAAGGTGAGAGATAATGTGTTCCACTGGTATTGTAGCACTGTCAGGAGAAAGTAAGGAAGGTTCCTAGCCTGTTGCGTGAACCTCCAACCGTAAACTTGTGGGAAAAAAGGGACATATTAAAACAAGCAGGATGAATACTATAAATAGTTGAAAATAAACAAGTGGTTCACAATAGATGATTATGATACAATGGGTTAAAATTTGTTTTTAAAGAAATTCATGCAGATAAGTCCCTCCTACACAATACAATCAACGCACTGAGCTGCAACAGTTTACAAAGCACTCATGGGAGCTTTATTATAACACTGGGAAGTATGAGGTTCAAGTTTTATGATTTCTGTTTTAGAAATAAAGAAACAAGTTTGGAAAGGTTCAGTGACTTGCCCAAGGTCACAGAGCCAGTGAGTGGAAGAGTAAGAATTTGAAATAGAGATTTATTCATTTATTTATAAATATTTATGATAAATTAATATTTTATTTATAAAATTTGTACATAAAATTTATTCACTCATCCATTTAATTAACTGATCAATCCTTTTGTTCATTCATTCATTCATTGATTTATTGATGTCATTCACTCAGTTATTCATTCCTTTATTGTGGGTTTATGAATCCGACTCCATAGGAAGTCAAGGAATTGCTGTTAGATTCCTTCTCCTTGTGTTTTCTTTTCCTCATCTTGCCATCTCCAGTTCTGGCATGCTGTACTTAAGGATTGTTTTTCTCAGCTGAGATAGGTTAAATTAACCACTTAAATTACTTATTTAAATGGGTATAATGTTCTTCAAAATCTCTCTATCAAATTATTTTAGTTTTCTATAAAAATAGTATTTTCCCAAATAATGTCTCTCTCTACAAATTGTTTTAATCATTTTCAACTAATGGGGTGGTTATTGAAAATGTGACCTAATCGTACGAAGCAGGATTTGTCACTCTGGGGAAGGCGTGGGCAACTTTTGGGTTTGTGGCTTCATAACCTTAACAGGGCGACTGTAGCTCAGGCTTCATATCTGTTTTATTACTGTTGATTCTGAACTAAAAACAAAACAAAACAAACTCATAGAGAAAATGCCACCGCATGACTGAGAATGGAGAGTAAACTGGAAACGTCTGTCATCCTTCATCCTTAATGTGAAAATAACATGCGAACAGAAATGGATGTTTCTGAACAGTGACACTAGCAAATGAGTCCAAGCCAAAACAGGTAACAAGGCATCAGAGATTTAGAACTATAGAGGACTTAGAAGGTATCAGATACAACATTCTAATATTAGAGAGGAGCAAACTGAGAGGGGTAAAATAATTTGCCCAGATTCACACAGCTAATAAATGTCTAGGTAAGGATTTAAACTCGGCTCTTCTTGATTCTAGGCAGCTAGGTGGCACTGCAGTGGATAGAGTACTAGGCCTGGAGTTGGGAAGACTCATCTTTGTGAGTTCAGATTTGACCTCAGACACTTACTGGTTGTGTGACCCTGGACAAGTCACTTAACCCTATTTGCCTCAGTTTCCTCATCTGTAAAATAAGCTGGAGAAGGCAATGGCCAATCACTTCAGTTTCTCTGCCAAGAAAACACCAAATGAGGTCACCAATGACTCACTATTGAAATGACTGAACAACAACTTCTGTGTTTCAATGTATTATCCATTAGGAAAACGGCAGTTTCTATGACAAAGTTACACTCCTGTATGACATGAAAATAACTAGCACAACTGAAAAAAGATATTAAAAAATAACACTGAAGCTAATGTAGCTAATT